ATAATGCAGTGATTTCACATTTTTAAGCGTCTCCTAATTGCAAAAGAATTTGGTGATAGATCAGCGGAACGAAGAGCATACAGCAACCTTGGAAATGCTTACATATTCCTGGGGGAATTTGAAACAGCTGCTGAGTACTACAGGTCAGTGACTGCCGATTAATTTACACCTTTTGTACAGTTTTCTTCTGTTGTGCCTGATACTGTAGCTCACTGGGGAACAGCMATCTCTTCAACATATACTTTGGAAAAAACTCCATTTGTTTAGCAAAGGTATTTTTCCTTTGTTGTTTAACTATTTTGGTTCTCTTAAGGGAGAGGCAGCATTAATGCTTTTTACTTTTTACCTGCTTTGTTACTTTGAATAGATTCTTTGCAGTACTGTAGACAGACACTTTTCCATTGCTCAGCATTTATTCCCCTTTATTCTAGAAGCAGGCATTACTGTCTAAGCTATTRGAGAGTTCTGGAATGATGTGAGTAGCTTTCCTATCCTGAGATGGGTGGCTGCCTTGGGTGTGCACACCAGTTAAGAGAGGTAGTGCACAGCAACATAAATTTTCAATCCAGACATTTCTTGATCTCTGTACCTCTARGCTGTGGTACTTGGGAAGGTAAAAGCTTGGCAAAGATACAGTACAGGTGTTACAAGCATCTTACTGGGATTTCAGAGCATACTTGTACTTTGGGAAAAAAGCCTCAGTACTGCGTAGATCCCTCTTAGTACTCAAATTCTTCTTGCCCAGCAGGGCAGGGCTGGCTTGCTGGGWCTAGGCCTGTCCAGCTCATGCTGATGGGAGAAGCAGGTACTGTAGCACTGGTATTAATCAGTGCATCCTGCCAGGGAAACTCCTACAAAAGAGTAATGAAGCAATAAAATAAAATTAAAGATGCTGTTTGAGGTATCAGCTTGCTCTCTAATAAAATCAAGTAGGTTGCAGTGGAGCGGGTGGAAGACTATACACTCTCAGACTTGTAAGAGTTTTAGAGGATAGATAAATTAGGGCACTAGGCTGGCAAATTATTGGCTAATAAGTTACTAAATTGTATAATTAACTGATATTATTAATTGTATATTGAATTAATAAATGTAATTGAATTAATTGTATAATTGTATTGTATAATATACAATTGTATAATTGTATAATTAACTGATTTTGGGATGCAGGTGTACTTTTGAAACCTTTTCCTTGCAGTGGTTTCTGAGGTGACTGACCCTCTCTTCCAGGAGGACGTTGCAGCTGGCTCGGCAGCTGAAGGACAGAGCTGTGGAAGCACAGGCCTGCTACAGCCTGGGGAACACCTACACTCTGCTCCAGGACTATGAGAAAGCAATTGAGTATCATTTGAAACACCTTGTGATTGCTCAGGAACTACATGATAAGTAAGCCCTAAGAGATTGTTTAATGTATGTGTGACACTGAGAGCAAATCCTGTTACCTTCAACTCTGCTGTCATTGTTCTGTATGTGACAGCTGAATTAATGTGMATTCCCTCAATGCTGGGCTCTGGTTTTCATATGGAAAACAAAAATTACTCATGRTGGTATTACAGCTAATGAGTCTGAGATGAAAGACAAATTGATGAATGACTGTTTCTACATCATCTCCTGTCAGCATGCCTGGGTAAATTAAGGAAAAGAAATGCAGATCTGTCTTTCAWGACTTCATTATAATAATTCACCCTACTTTCATAAGAATCTGTCTCCTACTTGTCCACAAGCTAATAATACAGGAAGGGATGGGAAAAGGAGAATAACACAGCAAGCACAAGTTGTGTGTATATAACCATCTTGATTTCAGAGGCCTTTTTTATAATGTCAGGTGCAAGCCAAATTTTTTTTCAACATTTAAATGTACATCTTCTTAAKTCAGTAAGAAGAATATGGAATATTCTAAATAAGAAGAATATGGTAAGGCATGCAAACTGAGGAAAAGCAAAGTAGGTTACATAATGTTCCATGCCTACAAAACTGTTTGCTGTGAGCTTAAAAAATAATTTATTAAATTTGTTCATATTTATTTATACTCAGATCACACTCTTTTAAATATAGTATTTAAAGTGCTGGTATTTATATTTACTGTATTTAAATACARTATTTAAAGTTGGAATGGTCTCTGCTGATGGCCTTCATTTTTCTTAGCCCAGCAAATTACTGTGGCAGTGCTGTGAAAACCTGACCTCTGGTGTTCAGCAGGTAGAGGTGTAATTGAAATGYGTGTTGTTTTCAGAATTGGGGAAGGAAGAGCATGCTGGAGTTTAGGGAATGCATATACTGCTCTGGGAAATCATGACCAAGCCATCCACTTTGCAGAAAGGCACCTGGAGATTTCAAGAGAGGTATGATTTTCATACTGCCACTAGGTTGGCTGTTGYTTTTTGCTCTCACACAGAGGTTTTATGGAGGTGTGTCCATGCATGTGATTTTGAGTGATGGAATGCATTTTGAATGATTTCAGAGTTGATTCCATGTTATTTCAGCCACCCTCTCACTGCAGTTAGCTCTTTAGTTCTAGTGTCACCACTCACAGTGTCATCACGGAATCCAAGTTACTAGCCTAACAGAGACTACTTTAGGCTTTGTTATGTTACCTGTTAGTTGTTACTTTGTTAAAAAGATGATGTTCTCAGTCTGCAACCAGGAAATCTTTTCCAGTCTTTTTCTGTCAGAAATCTAAGTATCTTGGGGTGATTGTCTTTAAACCAGGATACTAGGGGACAAGGATTTGCACTTACATGTGTGAGCATTCATTGAAGTAATATAACTGCTCGTTTCGTTTGCTTGAAGGTAGGAGACAGAAGTGGAGAACTCACTGCCAGACTTAATCTCTCAGATCTTCAAATGGTTCTTGGATTAAGCTACAGCACGAACAATTCCATGATGGCAGAAAGTCACATGGTGGAAAACAGTTTGAATGGTATGTGCCTCTTTCTGCAGTACTTCCCCAACAGAGAACTTAAAAAAGAATCTGTTGTTTTGAGTTCTTYGCTGATCATGGTTGAGTATGCAAATTTGCTTGGTTTTCTCCCCAACAGTTAAGAAAAGGTTGCTCTTGCAGTATTAGACTGCCTCGGCRCCTCCTTTTCTGAAAGATTTATATTGTGAATGGAGGGTTAATGTGTTCCAATTGTCTGTCTTGGACCTTGGATGAGTTACAGCCACAGCKTTGCAAGTGACACCATAAATTTTAATAATAAAAAGTTGAACTTTATTTTCTCTTGAAGGTGGCAGACCAAGAGGACGCCGTCACAGTATGGAGAACATGGAACTTATGAAATTAACACCAGAAAAGGTTGGCACTTTGCTTCYTTCTGTTCTGTTGCTGAGATTGCAGAGAAACATTTCTGAGGGTGTGTTAATGTGCCATTTGCCTCCCGTTTGTAATTTCATTGATATTAGGAGTTCCATAGCAGCAGGTCTAACACTACTAACAAGTAGTACTTTTGTCATGTAGGTAACAGCGTGTGACAGATAATGGTTGTGATGGCTTGTGGAAAGCTTGCTTTATTCCCTGCATGAATGAGAAAGAATGGGGTTCTGTAAGGTGAATCAAAAGAATTTTTTCATCTTTTATAAAGATGGTTTGAGTCTGCAGCATGAAAGCAATGCAGAGTAAAATTCCTAAGCTCAGCTCTTCTGAACATTTTTTATTTGATTACAGTAATTTTATAGGCACTTAAAATATGTTGTTTTTTTTCTATTTGGCATTTTTACCAACTTGCAAATTATCAGGAGCTTCAAATCCATCTCGACTAAGGATGCTATTTCAGAAATGCTGCCAGTTTAAGTGAGGCAAAGCCTGTCATGTTAATCAAACAGGCAATAACATCTCAAAGCATGAGGACAATCAGCACTGCTGAAGTCAGCATTGGTGCTCAAGAGCCTCTTTTGARTACTGCTTTAGAAGGACTGTTTAGTCTAGGGCAGGTCCTCTGCAGGGAACCTCTAAGCTTTTGGCCACTATCAGCTGGCTTCTCTTACTCTCTGAATCCATTTATCTGAGAAAACTTCTAAAATATGTAKCCTCTTAACAGTCTGCACCCTAAATACCTGCAGATTTTTGGCATTAATTTATTATTGCAGTCTAGTTTATAAAGGGCTTTTTTCAAGGTACTTGTAGAGTAATTTCTGCACATTCCTTCCATAAATATCCCTGAGACCAACCCCTGACCYGAGTATTAGGGTTTGATTGTCCAGGATGGCATAATCTCAGAGTCTGTGTGCTGGTGTTTGGTAAAGCCTTGAAAAGGCAAATCCAGAGGGTAGGCAGTGTTGCTGGAAAATTTGTGACTAATGTTGAATCAGGAAAAAAAGGGGTTGTTAATAAGAGTTACCAGTGTGTCAGTTGTGGGTAATTCTGTTTATTTTAGAGGAGGTTTCAGGGAAAATTGGTCAGGATAAAGCTATCCCTTCTGTTTTTTCATGAAAGGAGATGGTTATTCGTGTTTGTTCTTGTGCTGGCATTTGTCTCCCTCTTTCGTTTCAATCTTTATTGGGAATTTTGTGTACATCAAGAACTTCAGGGAAGGCTGGTTGCACAGCTGGGTTTGTGTAAGGGTTTGTTTTGCTTCAACACTTTGAAATATGTTTTTTAAATTTCTTTTTCTAGTTATAAAAATGCCAGGTGGGAAATGCCAGCATTTACATTTACTGCCCATCCTGCACTGCAGCCAGCAAGGACAACTTCAGTGTGTTTAATTAAAAAACATTTGATCACATTTTAATCATCAGGCGTTACACCACAGTCCAGTTCTCAGACCAACCAGTAACAGCACTAACCTTCTTCTGCTAACAGCAGCTCAGGAATCATAACCATATCCTCATGGCTGCATGAACGAAATAATGTAAAGCTGCCTCATTTTGGGGAGGAAAAGCAGCAGCAAGTAAGAGGTAACAGTACTGGTAAATAAAATCACAAGGCTTAATTTCCTGACTCTTGTTTTCTTAGGTTCCGAACTGGAACAGTGAGATTCTTGCTAAACAGAAACCACTGGTTGCCAAAACTTCAACAAAACTTCATTTTGTAAATCGTCTAAAAGGCAAAAAGTACAAAAATGGCACAACCTCCAAAGTTTTGCAGGATGCCAGTAATTCTATTGACCATCGCCTTCCAAACTCTCAGAGGGTAGGTTTGGTGAGCTGTGGAGMAAATGGCCTTTACTCATCTTTGCATGATTACAATTATGGAAAACACTTTCCTGCAGCTGTCCTCTTCCATTTAACTTGATTTAAACACTGTGGCTCTCAACCGATGCAGACTCGGTCATTCTGCAGCTCTCTCAGGTGTGGTGCCAGCTTTAACATTTTCCTACTACTGAAACATTTATTCCTGGTGGAACTTTTAAAGTTAGAGCTGGCACATAAATGTTTATTCTAAGTCTCTTCTAGATGCTACTTCTCCAAACTTAACAAAATCTGTTTTTTCTGTTTCAGGCACTGGGAAGTATTTTGGACTTACTTTTTAGGTTATTACTCTCTTGAGAGAAGTCAGTTCAAAATGAAAGAACTGAGTCATTTGGTCACAGACCTGAGGGAGTCAATGGCAATTGTTCATTGCTGCTCTTGTTCCTTTTTCCACTCATGGGCATTTGGGGTTTTGTTGGATTAATGGCTGAGGAGGAATAACTCCGGTTGTATCATGATCCGAGAACAGTTTCTTTCCATTTCAGAGAATGAAATGTTTCTAATATATTTCACTTTCCAAAATGCTGCCTTATCATTAGCATCTCCTCCTATGATAGATCTCTGGCTATAGAAAACTAAAAAAATTCATTTAATAAATTTCAGATATGCAAGTATCAAACATATCAGTGGACTGAAACTCTGATGCAGTTGTGGCAGCTGTAGGTACTCTAAGTTCAAATACCCCTAAATCTTCTCCTTTTCAGAAAAGCAGTCGTGAGACAATGGCAGATGAAGGGTTCTTTGATCTGCTGAGTCGGTTCCAGAGTAACAGGATGGATGATCAGCGGTGCTGCTTCCAGGAGAAGAACAGACTCTCAGCTGCTTCAGCGGCAACATCCTCAACTCCACCTAAAACAATGATAAAATGTAATTTTTAACAGTAAAATCTGTATTTGACTTGAGTTTTTGATAAATACTATTTTCAAAATGTATTTGTATGCAAGACTCACTACAGAAAGGAATGTACTTCTAGGCTAACTTGTTCTGTCTCTCCTGSCCAGCCTTTTCCACGTCTGTAGTGTCCCCACACACGGATGAATTCCTGGACCTGCTGGCGAGCTCGCAGAGCCGCCGGCTGGACGACCAACGCGCCAGCTTCAGTGAGCTGCCYGGGCTGCGCCTCAAGCAGAACAGCAGCCAGGCTGTGCTGGGCCACCTCATGGCCAGCAACAACAGGGAACTCGATGATGACTTCTTTGATATATTGGTTAAATGCCAGGCAAGTGCTTAACAACAAATTCCTCAGCTTCTCAGTCTCTGGGGACTCATTTGTGCCTCCTGCTACTGAGTTTTTTCAAGTAAGCCACTTTATTATGTTAAGWTACACACTGATCTGGTACAGAAGGAAGAACATAAGAAAACAAGATTAGTGGTTTTTAGMATTTTTAAAAAAGTTTTGGGACAATTCCCCTTTCTTGTTTTGTTCGTTTTTTTTAAATTAACCAGTGTCTAGTAAGTGTAATTTTGGTAATTATACCATGGTAACTATTAAAAGTAACATATGCTAGAGYGAATGAAAACAAGTGAGGCTCTTAAAGGTGTAGGTGAAACAGTTTTAAGTGTTTAGATCTGACCTGTAAGGACCACACGTCACCAGCAATCCTAATTATCAACTGAAAKAATCCAGAGTCCAGGTTTTGCTGGTAATCAAAATACAAAATGCTCTACTACCTTTAAATCTGAAAACAAAAGCTTTTAGTAGTGTTTTCATTAATAGTGTTCACTTACTACGTATCTCCCTGTAAATATGCAGCTCTGACTGCTTGTTTTGTCTGTAGGGTTCAAGACTGGATGATCAAAGATGTGCTCCTCCAGGATCTGCCAAAGGCCCCACTGTACCAGATGAGGATTTTTTCAGTTTGATTTTACGCTCGCAAGCGAAGAGAATGGATGAACAGAGAGTCCATTTACCCTCAGCTATAAAGGGACCTGATTCCAGCTGAAGACCCCAGAGGCACGTACTGTACAGCAGCATCTTAGGGATTATTTTGCTTTGCTGGAAAAGCACACTTGCCTTTTTGAAAACGTCTCCTTTCTCCTGATTTTCCCATAAATAGCAGCAGCATCACACTGGTGAGCAGTAGTTGTAGAGTTGCCCTGCTCCTGCAGGTGGCAGTTGCTTTCAGAGCACTGTCTTAGGTACTGGTACTGCATTCTCCCCCTTAATTGCCTCTAGTCTGTCAAAACTAATATGATTTCTTTTTCCTCTGTCAGTTCTCTCATTGCTCATTAGTGGATTCTACCACTATCTCAATCCAGTGTAAGACCTAAATTTTTATGTTCTTTTTAAAGAAAACTTGATTTTTTCCCCCTGATTTGTACCTCCTGAAAAAAGTCCTGTTTTCTTTTATACTTTTTTAAAAAAATAATTTAAAAAAGGAGAAATAGACTAAATACTGAAGCTGTCTTTGAAGAAACACAGTTTAGAAGAAACAATCATTGCAATTAAAAAAAAAAAATTGAAACCTTAGTTTTAATTCTGTTTAATAAAAAAGAGTTTTTTCAAACATCATGGGTTTGGATTTTTTTTTTGTAATATTATTTCGCTGACTCCTGCATTAACTCAGAACAGTTTTACAATCAGCAGAAGTTTTCAAAAGGTACTTTTGATGCACCAGGAATCCCAGGGGTGGCAGGCACTTGGCACAACTGCCCAGGGCCCTGGGGCAGTTCCTGCAGCACCACAAGTTCCAGTGTYACACGCAGGAAATGCTCTATCACAGTAACAGTGACTCCTCATCACCCAGAATCCAGTTCTACTCAMAACTTACTACACAAACCTGATTTCCAACAAGCAGCAACACTCTACAAGCCTTTTTCTGGCCACTTAAAGGTGCACTATCTTATTTAACACCTTTATTTCAGATTCCAGACACAGTACATGTACTCACTCTCCCAGGGCTTACAATCCCACCTTACAGCTTACTGATGTCCTCTCTCCTCCACTTGAAACCAGAGCAGAAKTAGCAAGTATATGACAACTAAAGATTAGACAAAACTTACAGCAGAGCTTGAGTCTTCCTTAGTCTCCTTCCTGGGAGTCTTGTAAAACTCTCTTTTTCTTCTCTTCACATGGTTCCATGACAGAACTTTCACCTTCTAGGTTTTTATTAGGGTCACACTTTTCTTCAGTCTCTCCCTCTGCTTTGCCTGTCTCCTGTTTCTGCTGCTCAAGTGCAGGTTCTTCAGTAAGTTTTTCAGCTTTGAGAGTTTCTAGTTTATGAACTTCAGATTCAGTGTACGATCTGTTCTGCAAAGAATTAATTGTAATCTATTAATTAAGCAATATAAAGTGATACATCRTTTCAAGTGCATTCAGCTCAAGGGGCAGAGCTCACCCAAAGCATGACTGGGATTTTTTTTCCTGGAGAAACAGAACATGTAAATAAACACAACATAGAGAATAAATCTGTTTTGAATTTTCTATAATTTACAGGAAAGTCAGCACTGCTTTTTTCCCCCCAGCTTTCTTCTGTCATGATTGCCCAGGCTGACAAAAGTACTGATCTMTCAAAACTGAATTTTTACCAATAAAAGTTCTAAGTTCTAATCAGTTATTTCCTGCTACTATTAGCCACTGCAAGGTGTTTTTGCAGAAGAAACACATCCAAAGAAACCTCTATCAAACTGTTCCATAGGGAAASATGTACTTCCTTAGCTCCTCTGCCCCCAGATGTACTTAACTCCCCTGTCCCCCAGATCTGTGCTAAGCTTGCTTGAACAGGTGCCATTGCAATCTGTTCAGTTTAATCCCAGCTCCCAGAGTGCCAGGACTTACAAGAGTCCCACAACCCAGCACCTACCTGTGCATCGGGCTCATCGCTGGCRTGCGCCGTGTCTGGGCTCCTGCTGCCACTGCCCATTCTCACCTTGGGCAGAGGCTTCAAGGTGTCGTCCCCTCTGTCCTGGTGGCCTCTGTAGACATAAGGATGCTTCTGCAAATAATACTCATCTGCTGTCCTCCCATCATACTGCCCAAAGGCTATTTGCTCCTGCTGACTGGCAGGTGGAGGAAGACYTTTCCTCTGAGAAGACGTTAAGTATCTTAATGCAGACACTGATGATCCTGCACCATAGCAAAAAGCCTGGGGGAGAGGGAAAAAATCCAAACTGAACAAAACACCAAATATTTGCTGCCTATGGTTTTCACACAGATTTCAGTGYCACATTTGAAAGACCCTAAAAGAAAAGCTCAGATGATGAGAATAGCTACAGTAACATTYGAGCTTTCTGCAGTCTGACCACACTGCAGGAACTGCCAGACTGGATGCAGTTAATCACTGGCGCTACGTTAAATGTTTAATGTTCTGACTCAATGCTTTTGTGTACAAAATGCCAACTACATGCCTCACATGACTCAAAGTTTAAGAAATGGGAACTAAGCTGCAATAAACTGTCACAGAGTCTAAGATTTTAAGCATTTAATGCTGTTATATCTCACTTGGGGAGTGGGAGAGGGATGTGGTTTGAATACAAACTTGGCCATTTTAATTCCTAAACCAACTATAGTATGAAGCCTTTATCAAGAAAAAATTCCCTTGTACAAGGGTAATTTCATCTGTGCTAAGAAATCCATTCAGTKGTACATATAAGAAACAAATAATAGATAATACTTAAATATAAATACATTTAATATATAAAAAATAAAACTGAGCTTTTAAATGTAAGAGAAATGTATACAAACCAGGACAGCCAGAGCCATCATAATGAGYACTGGAACCTGCAGAATTAATGGTATCTCCTTCATAAGTGCCTTGATGAATTCACCAATACCTTGTCCTACGTGCTTCAAAGGCTCAGTTACAAAGTTTGTGAAAGTTATTGCCAAGGCCTAGAAAAATACAAACAGAAAACCAGTGTTATCACACAAACAACAAACATGAACAGTCCCTTTGGACTTGACACATACCTTTGTCGGTGGAACTAGCAAAATAGGATTTACAAGCAGAGTTTCATAGTACTTCTGGCAGGGATCATCCTGAAGGGTCCATGTACTTCTAAGCCATTCTGAAGTCAAAGCAGAGACAYATTTTTACTAATTCTTAACAATACATTTTGTGACCCAGCAGTAATAAAAACTACATTTTGTGACACAGCAGTAATAAAAAGCAACATTTCAATTACAGATGGAAGAGAACTYTCCTAGACACAGTTCAAAGCTCAGATTTATTTTTACACATCTGAGATTAGCTTGGCAGTAGAAAGTCTTGCTTCTTMAGGGAACTCTTACATTATAAACAAGGATTTGTAACATCAGTGTTGCTGTGGTTTAGTTTTACTGTAGTCAGAACATTGATATTTATCAAAGACAGAACAATCAGAGTCAATGAATTACAAAGGGAAGACCACAGCAAGAACTGCTTGAGAGCTGCCACCCTCCATTCTACATGCTGGAACTGTAGTGGAAAGGCACTGAATGGTACTGGGAAGGGGCCTGAGGAAACACTCAGCAAGTAAATTATAMGAAAGAAGCAAAACCATGACATGCTTGAAGTATAGTGCTGTAATAAGCTCTCCTCCCAAAACCTAGAAGACAGTCTTATGGATGGAAAAAAGGATAAAACCACATAATCAAGTATTGAGGAAAATTCCCTGTACTACTCATGAAGAAATCTGAGCATTCTAGGACACCATGAATTGGTATTTTGCTACTCCAAAGTAGCAAACAAGTACTTACCAATCAGACTYCCCCGCCAGTCCAGCTTCTCAGCACAGACATTGTCAAACTGCTCCATTTTGGCAATCTCTGCCTGGTGCTGTGCAAAGGCCAGCTGCAGGGAACAGCAGTGATTGGAAACATGGACTGAGGTGCTGCATCCCTGCAGTGCTGCACCTCAGCTATCTGTCTTTGCTCCTGGCACACTTGGGACAGTTCCCCACATAAATGAGAATTTCCTCACTGTCCCCTTGCAATGGCAATTCCCCATGTAATATGTATTTAGRAAAGCTTACTTCTTTAAAGAAGCGGAATTCCACTGCTGTGCTAAAACCATCCCACTCTCTGGCACTTTGCTATCCCTGGGTCTGACAAGCTGCAGTTCAGTTCTGATGACTGAGATCAGAACTGTAAGAGAGATTTTGTGGCAGGGCTATGATCTGGTAGTTTAAATTCCTCCTCAATAAAACTGATCCTATTGTATCATCAGCCACTTAATCACCATTAAAAAGGCATGTATCTGGTCTATCACAYTAAACAGAGTTTCCACCATGGAATCTTAAGAAAAATGCTCCTCATAACACATTTCCTACCATGCTGCTCTCGTCAGGGCTCACATCTGCCTTGCCCACATGGTGAAATCAGTTCTAGTGCTTCATGAATTGGGTACATCTCTACAGCAGGATAAAGTTGTCAGAGTTTCCTTTGTTCTTGAAGCTTAACACACCCATCAACATGTAAAATAAAATGTTCATCCCTTTATTTTGCAGTTGATTAAAAAGCTTTATGTAAACTAACTAAAGAAACAAAATAACCTTTACTCCCTCATRACTGTAAAATTTTAAGCCAAAAAGCCATTAAGATTACAGAACTTACCTTATACAAGTAAAGCCAATTCCATGCAAAACTGATGAAAAAACTTATTAATAAAACACGTTTTAGYTGAACAAACCAAAGAACACGTGTCCAGAGTTCTGTAGCTATTACAGTTACAATACACACTAAGCACAAGAGTAGCTGAAAAAGAAAAGAGAAAGAAATTATGACCCACATATGGAATTTTCCAAACTTACTGGCAGTACACACGAAGAAACTTCCAACTTTCGTTTTTACTGGTGTCATTTCAACAGAATGGTTGAGAAGTTTTTCCTTGCTTCTGCAGCTCAGAGCAGTACAAGACAGAACAGTTTCATGGCAGCACTAATATTCATTCCTGTCACAGCCTTACATTGCAGTTGCTCATTTGTTTCTTGAGATATTTAGTTATTTCTTCCTTAGTACGTTTGTCGTGTTAGTACCATACTTCTGAATTATCAAATTGATGTCAGTCAGTGCTTGAGTAGTTTGTGCTTGCCACGAATCACAGAACAACTGCTGCCAACTCCACACTTTGGTTAAAAGACAAAGTTACAGTTTGGGTACCAGCAGCAAGATTTCAAAGAAGCAYTTCACAGTGGCTTTCCACCTGAGGACCCCTCACAGAGGTTACTGACAGCTTGCTTTTGTCATCTGGCTTCCAGGGACCCCTCAAATCTAGACAGCCTACTTGCAAGATTATGTCAGCAAAAAACATCAGATTCTGAATTTTAAAGATTTATTCAGAAAGCTTCAGCTTATYAGAGCTCCTCAGCTTAGCACTTTGTAATTCCCAGAGTCATGCCCTCCTCTCCAATACTRAAATTTTTTCCACAAATTTGCAAAAGCCTCTGAGCTACAGGAGCTCAAAGATATACTTGTCTCAATATAAATATATTCCARCTCCTGCAGAATCCAACAGCTTCAACATCTACGTGAGCAAGGGACAAATCTGGAAAATCTATAATACATGAGGTGTCAGTTCTAGAGATAAGGAAGTGCTAGAGCATAATGAGTCTTGGCAGCACAGATATAAAAGACAGGAAGAAGAACAAAAAAAAATGCACACTAGAAAAAAAGAACAAACCAAAGCTACAATAAGAACAGATGACCACAGGAACCAAAAACTTGAATTCCTTCTTAAAGCAAATACATCTTTCAATAATCATAAGAAAAGTGACTCAGTGAAAGTATGATGGAAAGCTCTGTGTGTGGAGTTAAGATGGTAATATTAATTGAGTAGACTTGCACAGAGAAACTGAAGAAAACAGCAATTAAACCCAACAATCAACCTTCATTCTCTTACCAAAAACAAGTTATAGAGATCAATTCCAAAAGCGTCTTCAAATCTCCACTGCCACGCTTGATCGTCATGGTGTTTAAAATTGATCAAAATATCACTCAGTGCCTCATCCATAGCACCTGGCTGCCAGGCTTCCTCATTGACAAACCTGAGGATCTCCAAATAGGTCTGTTTTGTAAGAATGATCTCAGCATCGTAATGGACATGGCCCACATTTTCCTCAGGCTAAATTCAAAGTAAAGCAAAACAGTGGTTAAAAGCTACTTATTTGGAAATAGAAGTGCCTCTAKTTTTGCCTCTAGACAAAAACCTGATCATATTCATTCTGTACCAGCACCCTTCTGAAGCAGACTGCAGGATGAGAAGATGGGACAGGGGGCATACTATGATCCTATATATTTTTTTAAACATAAATTACATGAAACACAAATTCAATTGGTTTGTAATCCTTCAATTCTACAGGAAAAAAACTCAAAAAATAAAGTGAATTATCTCACCTGTTACTAAAAWTTCAGAAACAGTGCTCATCAACAAGTAATAATTACATATGCACTGTATGCACCTCAGTCACAGCTGAATAATACAGACAGAAGCTAGTAAGTACTACAGTAAGTTTTTCATTGCTAAATGTAATGTTCATTGTTAAACAAGAATTTTGCTTATTACTAAAAATCAGTTCTACATATGAACAGAAAATATCTCCAAAGACAAGTCTTGGCCCATTCTCCCCCCAACCTGTATTGTGCCTGGGATTGCCCCGACACACATGCAGGACCTTGCACTTGGTCTCACTGAACTTCATGAGGTTTKCATGGACTCATCTCTCAAGCATCCCTTCCTTAGGGGTGATGTCCTTAGCCAGGTTTAATTCTGGGGGYTTCAGTTTTCCTAACCTGATACCTGACTCCTGTGCCTGCTTGGACAATCTCTCTGYACTCCACCCAGGCTACCCATCCTCRCTTCCATCCTCTGCAGGTCAACATGACAGAGCTACAACACAGGCCTTAAAACTCTGTAACAAACAACCCACATCTGCCTGTTTACAGTTTCCAACCATTAACATGACCAATACAAAGTGTTCCTACAGCTGCATCCCAGCAACAGATGTTTAGATACACTGAATTCACACAGCCTTCCTTTGGATGCTTTACAAATCAAATGGCAACTGGTGCCTCAGAATACTGGATGCACACATTTCTATCATTTTGTCTTTGGCCACTCAGTTCCCTTCATTTAATTTAAAGTACACCAACATAATTAATCAAAGCTTGGTATCTATGAAAACTACATAAAGCAGTAATATTAATTGACTTTAATTATTTTAACAACTATTTGAATACTTACAAGGCCAAGTTTTCCAGCTTCATTTAAAATCTTATTCAAGTATCGCTTAAAAATATAAAAGCTACGACTTTCATGTGATTTGGCATTCCTCTTCTCACATTCTGCAATCTGCAATTGTGCAGAAGACACTTTTATTCACTTTGCTCAAACCAGCTTGTTCACAGGAGAGAAAAAAACCCAAACATGCCAATACATTAAACTGAGGATTAACAGGGAMACATTTTTCTAGTTCAGCAATGATCCATGGTTAGTATGCCAGATAAAAAGCATATGCAGTTACTGGAGATCTCTTACTTTCCATGGGACTAACCAGTACTGGAAATTTCACATCTGCTAATAATACTCAAATACTGATCTCAGTAAGGCTAGATACAAATGCAAACATTTGGATCTCCTTACATTTTAAGTTTGCATCAGGAAAAATAAAGGGAATTCCCCAAAGTCCAAAGTAACTGAAACACTATTAAAATGACACATATCCCATTGGATATCCCTCATCCAAATGGCTGAGGGGAGCAAGTCCCCTGGTAGCCACACAAGCATCCCAACATCCTGGAAGGGGGTCTGACAGCAGCTACTAAGAGGGGCAGTGTTGCAGAGTGCTCTGGTCTCCRTGCCCACAACCCACCACTTAAAATCAAAGAGGACTGGACAAGTTGAGAACAGCGTGGGGTAACATCAGCAGCACCTGTTTAAACTGTTGACACTGGACAGAAGCACCTAGCTCCTATCAATTTTGTTACACTACAAAACATGTCAGGAAACAGACGTTTGTAGGCAGAACAATTGGAAATTGAATGCAAACCACTGCCAGTCTCCCCTCTGAATAGTTTCCCCTCCCATAAAGCATAATTATGCCAGCAATGCCCCTGTTTGATGCTATCCAGAAAAGCATCATCAGAAAGCACAGACCATAAACCACTGGAAAATAGTCCAAAGAACAAACCTTGTGTTGCAAGGAATCTATTATCCTGGAACAACTTTGTGTGATTTCAGTACTGTCTGTATCCACAGCCTTATCCTCAGAGTCATGATAGTTTGCCTAAAATTACAGAAGAAAAACATGTATTTTTAAAATCCAATAATTTGATCAACACACCCTGTTACACTTCTACAGTCATATCAATGTAAAAGAAACAAAGGAGCTAAAAACTGAGTGTAGCTCTTTGCTGCTAATACTGTCCCAATGACACTCCAGCTGCCTCTCTGCTGTTCTTTTAGGCTGCATATGGACAATCACTTTATCTAAATGCATGCTGCCTTCAAAAGGTGAGGCCTTGCCTGTCCTCCCCCACCTGCCCTTTCCCCTCCTTCGAGTGCTGGTGATCCACAGGGTGCAACAGGTTAGATAATGACACTAGCTAAAAACTGACTCAGCAGGCAAAGGGACAGTTTTCAGCCAGGCAAATTCCTAGTCCAGCTGGCCACCACACCAGCCAGACTGCAAATAAACACAAATCCCATTCTGGGCTGCAGGCCTTTCTTTGCTCCAGAATACCCTCTGCTTTCTGTTCATTACTCACACCTAGTTTTAGCTGTGCTGCTTCTACACAACCAGGTGTGCACACTGAGGGAAGTCATTAGCACATAACGAACTCATACTGACACAAAGTTTGGTTTTGAGGGCTTGGGTGGCYTACACAGACTGCACATCTAAAACTCACTGCAGAGCAGAAAAGAAATCCTGAAAATATGGATTAACCCAAAGCACTAATTTTTCTCCTTTAAGATGTAGTTCTGTTTTTGTGGGAGRCAACAATAAAGCTACTACTTCTTTTATAAAAGCCAAAGCAATTGGTCTCCAGGCTTAAGGACTCCAAAGCTTGCTCCTGGATCTTAGGCATGCTAAAGACTACCAGGTGGCCTTGGAGCAGYTGGAGGCTGATGAGGAAAGCTGATGAGGAAAGTAAGGCACTCTGCATTTTTAAGCTTCAGAAAATTATGTCCTGAAGTATTTAAACAGTATTACTCAAGACTGTAAAACCAAACTTGAAAGCTGTKTAACTACAAAAATCAAGGGTGACCACACAATCAACCCCAGTTTACAGTAYGTGCACATATGTACCAGACAAACAACATGCATCTCATGATATGCAGAGTCTGCTCTTCATACAAGACAATAAAGACAATTCACCTTGTTAAAACTAATCTTTTTCTRTGYTCTATCTTTTCTTATGTTCTGATCTGTTCCTATGTTCAATGTTAATGAATCATTACAAGTACAGCATTCAATCCCTATTCTGATCATCCTTCTGAAAACTGAGGCCCAGCATTACAAAACACCACTGACTTTCACAAAATCCCATGTGAGAAACTGGTTAATTRAAATAAAATACAATAATTAACTTTAACTCCCCCAACTTTCATCAGTCAGGAACCCGATTTTCAAGACATTCAACACTATACTTGAGAAACTAGCARGTGTTGCTTAACCCAATATTTCCCAGAACAGTAACTTGTGGTGCCACAATCTGCATAAATCAAGCACCGCCTGTGAAAATACAAAAAGCCTGCTTGATATGACTTGACCTGAGTGCAACAAAAGCTCATCAGAAAAAGGCCCTGAGCTAATTGCAATGATAGACATAAYGGTGTTTTCCTTGCAATTTTAACCATGGAGACACAAGACTTTTCCGTAAAAACACCATACTTCTGTCATCATTTATGGTCAGCATTTAAGAGCAACAGCATGTGGCTGTTTGGGAGAGACACATCCCCTTTATTTTTCTACCTTGTAAGGTCTTCTCATTGTTCCTGACGCTGCATCATAATTGAGCATATCCGTGGGGTCAATCCATTCATCTTCTTGAACTTTACAGTTCCCTATCAGCATAAGTGCACACAATACCAAAGGAAACAGCATCCTGTATCACTGAATAGAACAAGAAATTCAGGTATTTAGGTCAGGGTGTAACATGCTGTATGAAGAAAAAAACATTCTTACATGAAAAAAGTGAAAGTTGGTGCTGTTTAAAAGCTCAGTTCTCCATTAAGCAGGTTTAAATTCCCTTCCATTCTTTTTCCTAAGGAAAATGTTGGCAATAATATACAAAAATTAAATTGTATTGTAAGAGTGGATCAATACCCCTGACTTTGTTATCAGCAGGTRTAACAGAATTCAGTATTACTAAATATGATAAAACTGTGCAGAACTCCACCACACTTCACGACAAGGGTACTGAGTTAAGAGTAAGTCAAATTTTTCTGTYACATGAAGAAGAAGATTTGGCAGAAAATAAACTCTTCTTGCATTCCAGCTGTTCCTCATATACCAAAGGTGCTGGAGGTGGCTGTGCTTTGATTGTGAGGGATGGCCAATTCAGCACAAAAAAAGGGAAGTACAGAGCCAGTATGCCACTGTAATTCCAGTCATGTTCAATAAGAACCACCACAATCAAGCTTCACAAACAGTGTGACAGACACACTGTCAGGCTGGTCATGCCCAAACTTTCCTGGTCAGACCAGAGTCTGGAAACGGTCAATAATCCTCACCATAATTTGCTAAGTAACAGAAACAGTTTCTTGCTGCATTATCAGGGATACACACAGTCTGCAGGAGCACAGGAACASAAAAAATATGAGCAATACAGCCAGTAACAAATATGCTACACTGGGAGATCATTAGTGCAAACAGGAGCTGGCTCTCTGAATTTCCTGAGGGAGCACTCACTGTTCAAGCCTTACCTAACAGGCATTCCTATCGGGGAGGAGAAGGGCACAGTCCCGGGATACAAAGGTGGAGTCTCCTCTGACCTCCGCCCTTCTTAACCTATATTTACACTGGGTTGTGGGACGGTTAAAGGTAGAGTTTCACTTGATGACGTTTCACATTTAGGTGCAGTTTGAGTGACTTAAGTCATTCATGTAAAGCATGTACACGCATCTTACTTCATTAGCCCACGCTGCGTGTGAAAAGTGGTACGTATTTTCGCGTTCAGGTTTTGGTCCCGTTTTGGAKAATTCCTTCGGCTTAGTTCCCCTTGGCTGCATTGTTTTAAAAAGAGCATGGCCACAACACCTTCTGCCACTCCACCATCCTTTGTTCCCTCTCAGACAGCAACACACCGAGCTCCCTCACTGATCCCGCTCCTAAGGGCGCAGGCAGCTTGTCCCTGGAGAACTACTGCCAACGCGAACACTCCTTGCCGAACTTTGTTTTTCAGTATTTTTCCACAAAGGGGCCAGCACGACCGTCACGCAGAACTCCCCCTGGCCAGGCGTGCAGGGACATCCGTACCCTGCCCGGCGCCACGGCCTGGTCCCGTCGGTGCGGCTCCGCCAGGCCCCGGGTCCCGCTCTGGCCCGCCGGGCGCTGCAGGGGCGCACAGGGCCATGGAGCGGAGCCCCGCACGCCTGTGGGCCCTGACACCGCGCTCACCGAGCCGCGCAGCCCTCCC